GGGGCCCCCCCCCCCCTTTTCTTCCGCTGGGACTCAGGATAAACAGCTTAGTTATAGGTCAGATGGATAGTGGTTAGGTTAGAGGCGACTTTCCAAATGCAGTGTTTTGCTCATTCTTTTTTTTTTTTTTAATAGTTTTCTGCAGTTGTTTGGGATGGAAATCTGTGGGGTTCTGTAGAGTGATTTTTTTTTCTTCTTTGCTTTTAATGTAAAAGAAAATATTCATTTAGCTAACTGATTATTTTTTGAGCAAAAGTAAGTTCACTTTATGAACTTTTAAATTTGAGAATTTTTTTTGTTTCATCTACATTTCAAGACACTCAAAATGTGAACATCTGTTGGAAATCCCACTAGCATAAAATTTAAGGACACATGGCCACTGACATGCGAAGTTCAATTTCTTTAGACAGTCTACTGATCAACCACCTTGTAAAAAAGAAGGCGGTGAGCGGAGTTGGGATAACGGTGCACTCTTTCAGACAATGTCGTCAGGAGACTATCTTTATTAATAGACATTAACCTGGGTTGTTCACATAGGCTACTGAGGGGAACAACTCTAGAAGGTGACATGCGAAGTGTCACAGATCGTTGTGTAAAGAATGGAAAAAAAAAAAATAATCACCAGACAGAGATGTGCAACTAGCCAGTCGAGGTGTGAACTTTGGATCCTTGGCTTGGAAAATGGCTGAAAATGACAAAACATACAAACACGTTCTTGCATTCTGAGTTTCTACCTTCTTTTAAAAATCAGCAGAAAATCTGTGGGGTTGTCATTGTAATTCTGCAGGTGCAGATTCTGTTTGGTCCTGGTGACCAGTCAGTATAGTGGTTCTCATAGGTGGAAATGGCAGTGGTACATTTCTGTCATTATCAGCTAATGAGCGCTGACACTTGATGTTCCTGTCTTTGCAGAGTAAACTGCTGTGAATCCTGAGAGGAGGAGTCTCCCAACAGGAGATGAGATGGCGTCCAACAATACCCTGCGTAGCTACTCCATCATCCCATGTTTCATCTTTGTAGAGGTGAGAGAGAGTATCTACATGAGTGTGTGTGTGTGTGTGTGTGTGTGTGTGTGTGCACGTGTTTGACTGATAATCTGCCTCTTAACCCTGGTTTGGGGAATGCACATGATGAATGTGTGTGTGTGAGAGAGAATTTAGCCACTATAAAAAAGACCTCTTCTGGTAAATTATGCACAGCTAAGTAAAGTGTAAAGTGTTTGAACGATTGGGAAGCTGAGTGCGTGTAAGTGTTGTGCTTCTCCTCCATATTTAATTACCATGTCATCTGAAAGTCCTTAATCAGAGAGATGTCTCGGGACGCCTTGCAATACTCTCCTCTGCCTGTCCACACACTCTCACTGAGGAAATAGTGCATAACAGTCTCAGATGAGTTTACTTTGATTCTCTTTCTGCCTCTACCTTTATCTCATGCTGCCTTCTTTACTGACCTTTATGTCATATTTTCTGACAGCCTTTCAACATATGGCTGTTATATACTGAGAGTGAATGTATGTAAATTGTCTGCTACTGGTCTGATTTCTGGGTGTGTCCTCCAAGATACTGGAAGTCAGTATGACTCCTGTAATTGATCATTTTCCCCTTGAGTCATGATGTTCTTCCTTACAAATTCTGGAGCAGCCTTGTGAGAAATTGTCTTTTTTTTTTGCCTCAGTACATCTTATAAATAATTACGTGATTGTTTTGCACTTCTTTTAAGGAGACATTAATCTAATCACACATACAGACACAATCACATGTATTGATTAGACTCTTAACAATGAGAAACAATAGCTGAGTGAGCCCAAGTTGCACAGCCTATACTGACAGTACAAGAATAAGTCAGACAGGTATGCTATAAATGTAAACTGTTCATATAATAGAAATCTCATTCATGTCAATTAAAATGTCAGTTTTACTCTCACACAGCAAGATCGGGTGAAAACAAACTCCCCTGTACAGCAGCTTTAAACATAAAAATACAGTGGACACATGCACATTTGCAGCATCATCTTCTATGTAAAACGTTATTGTGACACATAATTAATCATCAAGTCCTTCAGCTGCTGTAGAAAGTCCTTCTGCTGGATAGCCTGTCATCATTGCTCATTTACAGCTTTAAAGCATCTTGGCTGAAACTCAGCATTAAATGCTCAGTTGGACATTGCTAATGTGCAACTGCAAGATGGCAATTAGTTTCATTAGGATGTGTAACTAGAGAGGAGGTGAACTGGTAAGTATTAATTGTGTTGGTGACAACATTCACAGATCAAAATATAGGTTGTTAGCTCAAAATTTTGTGTTTAGGATGTTGCTGCAGCAGTGCCGGTAAATTGCTCCTCAGTAATGAGAGTATTGTGACCTGGAAGACCAACATGCTATCATGAGAAATTATGGCTCATTTGAAATATAACTGGATACAGTACTGAACTCGCATGCAATGATATTAATGGCACTGATGTTCAGTGCAAAACTCTTCAAATGTGTAATCGAAAATCTTCAGTTACACATTTTAAAAATGAATGTAAAATTACATTTAACTTGGAGTCATGATAACGATAACCCATCATTTTATTGTATCTTCACATTATGATCAAAATAAGTAAAACGTAAGACTGTGCTGTCACCAAACAAATTTCTCACCAAACAAGACATCATAAAATCAATTTTACTTTTAAATACCACAATATATCACACACTATATATATTTTTTTACATATTGCATCAGAGTATAGTCGTTAGTACTCCTGTGAGACACTGTAATAACCTGCTGAGTAGCAAGCTTCCTTCAGTTTCCTTTCCTTTATTTCCACTTCCTCTCACTCTTCTTCATTCTGCCCATCCCTCTTTTTGCTTTCTCACCCTCTTTGATGTCTCTGTCACATCCTCACAGCCTCATTTCTCTCCTCCCCTTTTCAGTGAACCTGCTTCCTCCCTCGATATATTTTTCCTATTTCTCATGGTGTCACAGGAGTGCTTCCTCCCCTTCCAACTTCTTTATCCTCCTCCTTATCACTGCATTTCTTCTCTTCCTGTTTTGTTTCTTCCACTGTTTTCTCTTTCTCTTACTCACCCAGTCTGTCACCAGCAGAGCAAAGCAGAGAGAGACAGTGCTGTCACATGACCTAAATGAGGTGACCTGATTGGAGCAGCTGGGCCGTGCAGTTCGGTGCCAGAGGCAGTGACAGGGAGGATGTTTGTTTAAGGTGAATTGCTTGTTTAGTCAAGTAACTTGTTGCCTTTCTTTCATCTGTTACTTAACCTCAATGGCATTGTTTGTTGATGCCATTTGTCATTACTGTGGGTGTGATTATGAAATGGAAAGTAGGACTGAGATGAAAGGGGGTAAAAATAAGAGTGTGATGAGAGGACTGGGATGGAGCAGGAAGATGAGAAGAAAAATAGATGGTATAAGGAAGATTAAGTAAGTACAATAAGGCAGGGAGGAAGGAAGTAAAAGGTTGCAAAAATGGCAAGAAATAATTAAAAGCAGAGCTCGAGAGGTGAACAGTGAAGAATGAGGAGAGAATAGATATAGCCAGAGTCCCAGGCTTTCATTAATCTAACCAAGACCACCAAGATTTCTCAGGGTTTATCTACAAAAATTAAATGAAAAGGAAAAGAACCAATCAACTCCCACTGTCAACCTTAGGGACCATTTCTTTCCTTTATCTTACTCATGCTCCTTCACCAGTATTCTGTTTTACACTGTTGTTACAAACAACGAAACAACCCATCCCTACAGAGAGCCATCATTTTTGATGTTGCTCTCTCGCTCTCATGGCTGCACTGATGTAATATGATTTTTACTTGGGGGGATTCTAAACAGGGGCTTTTATCTGGGGAACTGCATGATAAATTTCATTTTGGAACAGCACACAAGCCTAATTAAACCCACTAGTTTTGTTTATACAGTTTAGATAGGAAACATGCCTGCTATCTACTCTGCCTGTGGTCGGAGATTTTGATTGGAGACGACAGGTAGATAGTCATTTCTGTATGGTGCAGTGGCTACCCTGTTTTTCAGATTGAACCTGTGGCCCCATTCTCATTAAAACACATTTCCGTTGATGTAATTTAAATCACAGTTGAAACCGCTGTTGGTTTGAATTGGAAAATACAGTAAGTTACAAACTCTGGCTGATGTCTGATACTAATGAATATAGTTTAGCTGTGTTGATGACCAGCGTTTCATAGTGATGAGACAGTGAACTAGGCACCAGAGTGAACTAGTATGTAAGTCATCAAAAGAGCTGATGGATGCATCTGGCAAAAGCAGTTACATAAAATAACTGGTGACATTATAACAACAATAAACTCGGCCATGCGAGACTGTGAGGTAGTTTGTGTAACCTAGTGTTACTGCTGATTAAAACGTTGACCCCTGACCTAGATTGCACCTAAACCCTCTGAAAACCTAGGGAACCCATGTTATGTTGCGTTTTCTGAACAGCTGTTGCTCTGATAACACGGTATATGAACACACATAGCACAAGTGAAGAAGAGTCAGGAGACTTGCCTGGTAATGCTACTTACAAATACTGCAATATCTTATCTATGGTTTGCTCATACTAGCTAATGCTAGCCACCTGAAGCTACTAGTCATACCACACCAAGTAAAGTTAGTATCAACAAACACTTTGAAGGTAATGACTTGATCAAGGGTGTGTTTTATAGCTCCTGAATTCTGCAAGTTCGCAAGTTGAAGATTGTGTTATTACTTCTTATAAAAGTTACATAGTCTAATTTTAATTTTAAACATGAAGTAATAATTTATTTTTCATTTTGGCAAGAGGAGAATTTAGGATATGTTACTATGCTGGGGCCCTGTTAGCAGTTGATTTATAATGGTAGCAGTAGCAAATTCCAGACCGCGTAAGTGATTTACTTATGACACCAAGAAATGTAGCTTGTTAAAACCTAACAAAGGTAGATGGCTCCACCAAAATGCCCTGCCAGACCCTAGGATAAGAGAGGTGAATTGTATCCTCCAAGGAGGAAGGATAATGGCATCCTGCAATAACTTTGTATAACAATTTTACAACAGCCAGAATTGTCAGTCTGCCCTTCACGCAACTAATGCAGCATGACACTGGCTATGGAGGGAATATAATGGAGCCACAAGTTATGCCTTACAGAGAAAGAGACACTTGTCCAGGTGTAGAACTGTCACAGTGAAGCCAGCGCACGAGAAATTCACAGAAATGGTGAGCAGCCTCCACGGGTTGGGGTGCACCACTGCTTTCTTTTCAGTAGAGCTGTCAAATATCAGCATGTTCATCAAAAAGTAATTATAGGACTGACTTCCAGCCAACCAGGTAAGATCTCCTACAGACTACAGGACAGACAAAAGAAGAGTAAGCTCATATTGTACAAGCTTAAATTGCTTGTCTGTTGTAGGCTGTTTTGGTGTGGACTTCTTATGATATATGGTTTGGAGAAATAAGAGGAGATGGGGTGAGTGACAGAGGAAATACAGTAAACAGTAGAAGCTTTATAGAGATCTAGAAGAGAGAATGTGATTTGAAAGGAGTGAACTATAGGGAACAAAATGATCCAGAACCTGCTTAAAGGTGTTTTCATCTTCTAGACTAACTGTGCTTTTGTAACAGAAACCTTATTTTTAGCCAGGCGGGTGCTTTAATAGAAACTGTTGTTGTATTTGAACTTGAGGCAAGCTATTCTTTAAATGCAAATAAGATGAAGACCAAAGTAAATGAAATCACAGCGATAATAATAAAGTTCAACAAATGTTACAGTTCAGCAAACACCCCTCTAGATATGCGAACTAAAACATTTCCAGGTTTGCTTGTAAATGTGACCTCCTTATATGTATGATCCCAAAGGTACTGTATTACACAGCTTTTCAACAAGCGAAGGAATTTACATATTTTCAGAGGAGGCATGAATCATTTTGTAGCTGATTACTCTGTTGGAACTTGTTTTTGGAACATGAAAACATGAAATTATCCTACATCTGTCTCTCTCTGTAATGTTGATGCTGTGTGCAGACAGGTTGCTTTAAGACAGAGGAGTGAGGGGAGTTCTGTTTATTTTGAGTGGCTTTACTTTGCTCATTGCTATTTGCTGTGTGTACTGTGTAACCATGATGGTGTGCAACCATGTATTATGGTTCCTCTTAGCAGGACTACATGTGAACGGTAGAAAAATTGTTCTTCACAGCAGGCCGCCATTTTTTATAACAGGAGAAAGCAAACAGCATTGCTAGCTAGCTTAGTGGTATTCAGAGAGTTGGCATAGAAACCCACACACACACACACACACCCACACACACACACACACACACACACACACACACCTGGACATCTCCACATGGCCATCTGTCTGAGCAGTCTTTCTGCCAACATTTCTCTTCTCTTCTCTTCACTGTAAACATAGTGTTTTTTGTTTCTTTCTCTTTATCTTCTTGCCTTCACTGGCCATATTGTCCAGTTTGGTTTGCACACCTTCCAGATTCTACAGTGGATCAAATTGTTTTGCATTAAACAACAATTCTGCTCTACTTATTTGATTGGAAAAGGTATGATATTGATATACATAAGCGTGTTTTACTTTTAGTCTGTTTGACTAAAATCAACAAAGATCTGTTCATTGTATTCTGCTGCAAATTAATGTATTTGGGAAAGTACAAGGTAACTTGTGCTGTAGTCTGTGACAACATAAACAGTACCATACTGGTCTAAATGCAATAGCTTTTACCCCAGCCTGAGGCCAACAACAGCTGTCATCAGCTACAGTATGAGTCATAAAGCCCACTGGAGCAAATGTGCAAACTGACACACAGTTCTAATGTCCCTAAACCAACATAAATACCTGCATGAAACATGGTACTTTAATCTAACACACACCCTGTGTTCATTTGTTAGGTAAATAATGTGTAAATGAAGCTTTCCCCAGTAGTTAGATTTGAAGACAAGTGAAGAACTGAGAGAGAAACAAGAAGTACAAGTGAACAGTCTGATGAGGAGAGTCGTGAAGACTCGTCTCAGTCAGCATGCCCATTAGTGACGTAACTGATTTTAATGTTAACGTGCAGCTTGTCACTGCTACCACAGTGCTACACCCTGAAAGATCATTTTACCCTTAGTTTAGTATACCCAGTGGTGGAAGAAGAAGATTGTTTGTTTATGGAAAAGTAGCAATACCACAGTGTAAAAATACTCTGATACCAGTAAAAGTCCTGCATTCAAAATGTTACTTAAGTCAAAGTATATTTAAAGTACCAAAAGTAAAAGTACTGCATTATATTTAAAGTACCAAAAGTAAAAGTAATGCATAGTTTACACTGATGTACATCATATTATTCAATTATAATTATTGATGAATGCTTGTGTACATCACATTTAATGTTGCAGCTTGTAAAGGTGGAGCTATTGTTAACAACCTTATGTGCTTATAATTTGAATTATTTCTGGTTATCTTGTGAATTTTACCTCAAGCATCAATAAATCCTATGATTGTAATGTATTTTGTTTTATTAGCCTCATTCTGAAAAGTAACTAAAGTTATCAAATAAAAGTAAAGAGTACAAAGTACAGTATTTTTCTCTGAGGCACAGTAAAATTAAAGCAGAAAATGAAAATACTCAAGTAAAGATACCTTAAAAATTGTGCTTGAGTACATTTACTTATTTACTTTCCATCTCTGAGTATACCTTGTAGTTTTTTTGTTTTGTTTTGTTTTTTTGCAGCTGCAGAAAAACTTTGTTTTTTTTAAATATGTTCAAAAAGTGTCAATATTTAAAACAGTTACGCGCTAAATAAATCAGGATACAAAGGCTCAGCAGGCTGCAGAGGAAAGGTCTTGTGTTGTCTTCCTTTTGAAGCGATGCTGATCCTTCTGCAGGGGCACAGTGACACCTGTTGGAGAGTCGTATCACAAATGACTTGCTTGAGCATGTTTCAAGAATCACAGCAGCTGTTCATAGACATGGTTGCTTGTGACACCTTAACTAGTCTTAACTAGTTCTTGTACCCTCATGATTAAAATTGTATCAATAAAACGCCTTGTTAATGTTTCCATTAAGTGGCAGTACTTCTGCTTCACTGAGATATCCTACTTCTTTCTGCTGTGGTGATGATGAATCAGGGCCTTGCTTTTCTTTGACTCAGTAATACAAATGCAGCAGATTTTCAGAAGCTAGATTAAGAGCCTTGCTGTGTGATGCCTTACATTTTTGGTTTGCTATCAGTGACTAAAGATACTCTATAAGGAAAAAAAAGTTGCCTGCAGCTGATTCTAGAAAGGGAGCAAAAGGAGGCCAGAGACAAAAGATGATGTCAGAGGGATAAAAGGATGAGGGGGTGAAGAAGGAGAGGAGGTGGTAAGTGATGGTGATGCTACTGCTGCTGATGGTGGGTGGGGTGCTGGTACACGAGCAGAGTTAGCATGACACAGAGAGAAAGTGAGAGGGAGGTAAAGAGATGCGGCTTTAGCAGATTTATGCGGTTGTTGGACAGGTAACAGCTGAGTGGAGCGATGTCCACGGATCAGCCACAAAACAACTTATTTTCAGGAGAATGACTTGTCTTTTTTTTAACAACCAAAGCCTGAATTAAAGAGATCAGCCTTCAGTGATGTGCAACTAACAACTCTGTCATTCTCCTTCTTCTTCTCCTCTTCTTCAACTTCCTCTACTCTCTTGCTCCATCTCACTCCAGCATGTTTTTCTTCCAGCTTGTCATCATGTCTGGCACGGTGCTGTTAGCCTACTACATGGAGTGCACAGACCTGTTCAGCGTGCACGTGCAGGGTTTCTTCTGTAATGATGCTGAGCTGATGAAGCCGTACCCTGGCACAGAGGAGTCCAGCTTCATCCCCCCCCTCATCCTGTACTGCGTGGTAGCTGCCGCTCCCACCGCTATAGTGAGTAAAAGTCATTTTATATGTTTCACAGCAGCTGTCAGGAACTGACAACTGCTCAGGTTGTTTTGTTGTATGATGGGGTGTAAACAGCAATCATCAGACGTGGCTTGAATGTGTTTAATCAGGCTGTCTCCATCTCAGCCTCCCTGCCTTTCAACTGTGTGTTCACTGGTTACAGATTTTCATGTTTGAAAGCTATTCTTTTTCTCAGCTTGTTTTCTATTAACTAGATTTAACTAAAAAAATTATTACCACTCCACATGAAATATCACAGTGGCATACTTCATTTACAATTCATTCTTAATTTACAACTATCTGTCGAATTATGACCATCTATGTAGTATAGAGATTCAGTCACGCACCCCATGTGTCTGTAACCCGCAGCAGTTGTTTCTCTATTCCTGGTATATTTCAGCTTCTCTGACACAATATGGAAGAAAATGTCATGACAAACTGTGACTGACGAGTGTGTTCATATATTTTTATGGGTCAGCTGGTAAGTTTGGCACTCCTTTCACAGACTGAACTTTTGGCTCTGTACTGTGAACTTTATTCAGTATTGCTTCTAGAACACCATGATAAATGTACCAGAGTAAAGTCATGCAGCACAAGGAGCTGTGTATGTGAGCTGCATGTGGTGATACTTGATGAAGTCCATATTCCTGGACAATGACTGGAGTTCCTAAAGAAAATAAACCTGACATGTGCCTGTGCAGAACGTTCATGGGCATTCTTAGTTGTCCAGAGCCTAAGGTATCGCCAAAGCAAATTTTCTGAAACTGGGGATGTTTCACAGTTCATCCACCAGGCTTTATCAGTTCTGCTGAATGCAGGGACTCCCATAGATTGGTGAAACGTCTTCAACACCAACAGACCCTTTGATTCATTGTCTTCAGATATAATATCCCTATTGTCACATTACAACATTGCAATTTAATTGACATTTACTTTACACATCTAGTATTGTATCATTATCTGTTAAAACTGTTTTACATGTCCTTGTAGGAAAAGCACAGGTGTACCTTATACTGATAACAATGGCTCTGTTTCATGTAAACGTTTACCAGGGCCGTGATTCTTATAAATCTAAGTAGGGTTCAACCCACATTACACCTGGTTTACCTGCAATTAAATTAAAATATTTAAAGCAGGAAAGGTAAACCATTTTCGGAATCCTCTGAGACTTGTCCAAACTGTTAATTTTAAAGCTTAGATGATAATTGCAGTTGTTGTGAATGTGCAGCAGGACAATGTCTACAGTGCATCTAAGTTGATTGAGTCATCTCATGCTGAAGTAGCAACATACATCCACTAGGTGTCAGTGTCGCTCCATGCTTCTCAACTTCACCCCAGGAAACAGGTATCATACAGTATGTGTCTGGCCCCCAGGGTCAGCTCATTATTAAACCCGTGTCACATGTTCTGCAGCACCTTTAGTTGTGCTGTATATGTTTGCTGCACATTATGTTGTCACATCTCCTCTCCAAATAGACCTCCTTTTTTCAAGAAGCACTTAATCAGAAATGTGATTGTTAAAGATGTTTTGTTCTTGGACACACACCACCCATTTTTCTTCTGTGGAGATATCACTGTCCTGTTGCCTCTCTGCAGATAAAATCTTTCTGATTTTATGTGAATGCTAATTATGTTATGTTAATTATCTAGGGCATTTAATTCTTTGCTCTCAGGCTTTAATTGATTGGCCAGGAAATGTGTGCAGTTTTGACAGACTCCTCTGCACTGATTACTTCACAAACAAAGAAATGTCACTATACTACAAATCAAATCAAA